ATCTGGAATTTCCGTACATGCTTGTCAGAACATCTTAAACCCAGAATCTAACAAGTTTTCCTGATAGACAATACTTTACATGTATTGTCACAATGTGATGGTGACAGAATTAAGAGTATTCTGTGCTATGTCACACGGTGAGTATTCATGAACTCTTGTCCGTTTTCCTCTAATCTTTGCCCCATGGGCTTATTGTCTTTTTCTGATTTTGCTTTGTGTCATTGCACTGTAATAGACCTTAGACATGAGTATGACTATGGTGAGTGGTCTAAGTCTATTAAACAAGTCTCCAAACTTGGGGGTGGTCATGGAGTTGCCTGACACAGAAGAAAATTACCTCAGTCTGATAAAGACAACATATAAATATAATCATCACACTTAAATGATTAAAGACTAAGTGTTTTTCCCCTAAGATTAGAAACAAAGTTTTCCAGAAGTTGACTTTTTATCAAATGTTTTTTCTGCATTTGATATGATCACGATTTTTCTCTACTTTCCTGTTTATGTTGTACATTAAAATTATTGCTTTTCAAATGTTTAACCATCTTTACAAAGAGGAGTTAAGTCTCCTTTGGTCATGATATATAACTCATTTATACAGTGTTGAACTGAATTCTCATCATTCATTCAGCAAGGTCTCAGTTCTAGTCAGCTCAGTGAGGAAGAAAAAAGGTGTAAAGCATAAAGAAAGGAAGAAAATTATCCCTATTTGCAGATGACCATAAGGCTACCTACAAAATTCCCAAGAATCTACCACAACATTATTCCCACCACTGGTGAGTTCAGAAAACTCATAGGTACGAGAAATCAAATTTCTATAAACTAACAATAAACATGGAGAGACAAAACTTTAAAAACACATACAATTTATAATCACTCCAAAGAAAATCAGATTCTTAGGTACATACTTAATGAAATATGTACAGGATATATATGCTCAAAAGGGCAAATGCTGAAGACATCAAAGATTTAATAAATGGAACAATGCATCATGTTCATTGTTTGGAAGACTCAACATAGTCAATATATCAACTCTCCCCTGATCTATAGGCTTTATATAATTCCTATCAAAATCCAGTGAGGCAAACATATTCTATAAATTACAGGGAAAAAGCAAACACCCTAACTAGAGTACCTAAAATAACCCTGGCAAAGAATAAAGTGAGAAAAATCATTCTACCTGATATTAAAGATATATATACATAGGGGCTAGGGATGTAGCTCAAGCAGTAATGTGCTCACCTGGCATGCGCGGGGCGCTGTGTTCGATCCTCAGCACCACATACAAATAAAATAAAGATTTTATGTCCATCGAAAAAATAAATATTAAAAAATTCTCTCTTTAAAAAACACACACACACACACATATATATATATACACACACATACATACACATGCATACACACACACACACACACACACACACACAGCTTGGGACATTGTAGTATTAGAAAAATAAGAAAAAGATGAGTTGAACAGAGAATAAAGAAAGTCACATATAAATTTGATTTTTTTAAATAAAAGTACAAAATTTAATAGAGGACAGCATTTTTAACAAATAGTACAGGATAGTGGGAGACTATCCATAGGCCAAAAATTGGACTTTGCCCTAAATCCCATGCTTTATATAAAAATTAACTTAAAACATCCAGGAAGGGCTGGGGATGTGGCTCAAGCGGTAACGCGCTCGCCTGGCATGCATGCGGCCCGAGTTCGATCCTCAGCACCACATACCAACAAAGATGTTGTGTCCGCCGAGAACTAAAAAATAAATATTAAAAATTATCTCTCTCCTCTCACTCTCTCTTTAAAAAAACAAAAAAAACAAAAAAAACAAAACATCCAGGAAAAGTAGAGTATATACTGTAATCTCAGCTACTCTGGAGGCTGAAGCAGGAGGACTGCAAATTCAAGGTCAGCTTCTGCAATTAAGTAAAACCCTGTCTCAAAATTAAAAAACAAACATGTATTGTCACAATTTGATGGTGACAGAATTAAGGGATATAGCTCACTGGTATAGCACCCATGGATTCAATCTCCGTACCATCTCTCTCTCTCTCTCTCACACACACACACACACACACACACACACACACACACACATACACACACAATTAAACAGTGTATTGTGGACTTAAATGTAAAAACTGGGCTCAATGGAGGAACACTTGCCTAGCAGGTGTGAGGACCTGGATTCTATCCCCAGTACCACAAAACAAAAAACATAAAATGTTTACAAAAAATAGTAGAAAAGCCCCACAATCAAAGTTTAGGCAAAAAAACAAAACAAAACAAAAAAAACCTTAGAAACACCAAAAGCACAATATATAAAAGAAAAAGAAAATTAACAAAGTGGATTTTGTAAAAATGAAAGAAAAACTTTCACTCCACAAAAGACAATTCAGAGAATGAAAAGAAAAGCTGGAAAACTGTATTTGTAAACCACACATCTGACAAAGGACTAGTATCCATATGTATAAAAAGAATTGGGGTTGGGGATATAGCCCAGTTGGTAAAGTGCTTGCCTCACATGCACAAGGCCCTCAGTTCAATCCCCAGCACCACCAAAAAAAACTCAACAGTGAAAAACAACCTATTTTTAAAATGGGCAAAAGGAAGAAAAGGACATTTCACCTATGAAAACAGAGATGGCTGCCAGGTGCGATGGCACATGCTTGTTATCCCAGTGGCTCAAGGAGGCCGAGGCAGGAGGATTGTGAGTTTAAAGCCAGCCTCAGCAACAGCGAAGTGCTAAGCAACTCAGTGAGACCGTCTCTAAATAAATTACAAAATAGGGCTGGGGATGTGGTTCAGTGCCCCTGAGTTCCTCTGGTACCAGAGAGTAAAAGAAAATAGAGATGGCAGATAACATGTTAAGACATTAACATCAATCATCAGGAAAGAAGTTCAAATTAAAATGACAATGATATGTCACTATTCACCTATCAAAATGGAAAAAAATTAAATGGCAAACCAAATGCTGAGAATGTTGAGAACTTGGTCATTCATACATTATTGGTAGGGAAAGTAAAATGGTGTGGCCATTCTGGAAAAGCCTGGCAGGTTTTTTTTTTTTTTTTTTTTGTAGGGGAGATTGGTACTGGAAATTGAACCAATTATTTTGAGACAGGGTCTCACTAAGTTGCTTTGGACTGCACTTAGTTGCTAAGACTGGCGTTGAACTTGCAATACTCCTGCCTCAGTCTCCTGAGTTGCTGGGATTACAGGTATATGCCACCATGCTCAGCAAGTCTGGCAGTTTCTTTAACATGCAAATACCACACCACCATGTCAGTTGCCCTCTTAGATATTTCTCTCAAGAGAAATGAAAACTTGTTTTCTCCCAAGTATCTATACACAAATGTTCCCAACAGTTTTATTCATAAACAGTTGTATTCATAAACCAGAATCAGCCCAGATCACTTCAACAGGTAAAACAAAACTGTGGTACATCTATATCATGAAATAATATTCAGCAATAATAAAAATAAATTATTGATAAATAAAAAACGTGAATGAATAAAACTCCAAATAATTATGCTGAGTGGGGAGAAAAGAGTTTGAAAAGTTTATGATTTCATTATTATAACATTTTTAAGTGATAAAATTTGAAAAATGGAGAATACATTGCTAGTTGCCAGACATTAGAAAGGATTGAGGAGGATGAAAAAGGGAGAATCATTGTGGTGATGGAACTGTTCTCATTCTTGACTGTGGTGGGAGATATATTAACCTTCAATCATGATAAAATTATGTAGGACTTAATGCTCATCTGCTACATAAATGCATAAAAAAATGGGAAAATATGAATATTATTAGTGAATTGTATCATCAATCCTGACTAATAGGTACTACAGTTTTGCAAGATTTTGCCACTGGGGAAAACTGACTAAAGAGTACAAAGAATCTCTGTGTATTATTTCTTACAACTGTATCTCATAATCTACAATTATCCCAATAAAAATTCTGACTAATATAAAACATTACACAGATAATAAATATGGGACAACTTATACATTTCATATTCATATTAAAGATTATGAAATATATCAAAATTATTAAACAAACATGTTATTTCCTATTATAAGGTTGGGTTCTACTTGGTAAACCTAACACAAATTTTTAAGGATGATTTTAGAAGTATAAATCTTTCACAGCATACTTGCAAAAGAAAAGGCTTCTTCATACTTTTCAATATTAGAGATTATTAAACTCACTGATGCCTTTTTAAAAATTTCTATTTCAGGGCTGAGGATGTAGCTCAGTGGTAAAGCACTTGCCAAGCATATTTGAGGCCCTGTATTCAATCCCCAGGACCACCACCAAAAAAAAAATCTATTCCACAGTACATCTATATTTAATAATAAAATTTTAAATCCACAAATCTCAAACAGATACAGTTCCATTCAGTATAAACTCACTTATATATAAACTTTAGTTGCTGCCCTACATCTTCACAACATTAATAAAGTTTGCAAATATTATTTGTTCTTCAATGAAATGTCACTTTTAGGCAAAAGATTTCTCATATTTATTGATTGCTGGACTCCCCCTCTGAATTTTTCTGCTATGCAATGAGTCCAAGAAGAAGAGAAAGACTTCTGAGCCTTCAGGATGTTCAAGGGCTCCTTGTTTCTTTGTTTAATGAAGTTAGGATACTGGTRAAAAAAGTCAGAAGGTTGCTTGCAAGTCTGTGTTCTCAGTTGTGTTGTGAGAGTTGACTTCTAGTAGGTTTTCCCACATTCATTACATTCATAGGGTTTTCCTCCAGTATGGATTCTCTGACATACCATGAGGGATACTTATAGAAGAAAGTTTTTTCACTTTCACTGCATTCATAGGGTTTCTCCCCTGTATGAATTCTCTGATGTACTCTAAGGGATGACTTGTAGTAGAATGTTTTCTCACATTCACTACATGCAGTGTTTCTCCCCTGGGTGAGTTCAATGATGTTGTCTGAGTTTTGACTTCACAGAGAAGGATTTTCCACATTCATTACTTTCATAGGGTTTCTCTCCTATGTAAGTTCTCTGTTGACTGAGGAAGTTTGGCTTCTGGGAGAAGGTTTTTCCACATTCCTTATGCTCATAGGGTTTCTCCCCAGTGTGCATTCTCTGATGCACTGGGAGAGTTGCCCTGTCGCTGAAGGCTTTCTGACATTCTGTTTTTGTTTTTGTTTTTTTTGGGAGGTGGTACCAGGGATTGAACTCAGGGGCACTCAATAACTGAGCCATATCCCCCTGCCCTATTTTGTACTTTATTTAGAGACAGGGTCTCACTGAGTTGCTTAGCGCCTCATCATTCGTTGCTGAAGCTGGCTTTGAACTTGTGATCCTCCTGCCTCAGCCTCCCAAGCCACTAGGATTACAGGCATGCACCACTGCACCCAGCTTCTGACATTATTTACACTCATAGGGCTTCTCTCCTGTGTGTGTTCTCTGATATACTGCAAGTCCTGACCTATATCCAAGTTTTCCCCCATTCACTGCATTCATAGGGTTTCTCCCCTCTATGTACCATCTGATGTAGGATGAAAGAGGATTTATGGATGAAGATTTTTCTGCATTCGCTACATTCATAAATGAGTTTACTCCMAGTATCTGTTTTCTGATATATATAGTAAGTTTTGGATTATTGCAAAATTCACTAGAATGCTGATTGATTCTACAGGCCTTTTTTCTATATGTGTTTCTTGATGCCAAGTGTAATTTAGCTTCTTGCATCCCCGTCTCCATTATAGTCAAAGCTTTCTCTCCCTTATAAATTTGCTGAGTATGAATGAGCAGTGTCTTCTTCCTGATACTATTCTTCTTCCTGATACTATTCACCATTATTTTTTTTCTTTTTTTTTCTTTTTTTTTTTTTTTTTTTAAAGAGAGAGAGAGAGAGGAGAGAGAGAGAGAGAGAGAGAGAGAGAGAGAGAGAGAGAGAATTTTTAATATTTATTTTTTAGTTCTCGGCGGACACAACATCTTTGTTGGTATGTGGTGCTGAGGATCGAACCCGGGCCGCACGCATGCCAGGCGAGCGCGCTACCGCCTGAGCCACATTCCCAGCCCACTATTCACCATTATTAAATTCATAGTATTTCTTTCCTATGGTAACTCTACAGTGTTTATTTGGGGTTAAATTCGTCCCAACACACCTCCTCCCACAATCAAATTCACAGAGACTCTCCCTTGTTTGAGTTCTTCAGTGGGCAATGTATGTTTGTCTATCAAGGCTTTTACATGTCCATTATATCCACAGGGCTTCTCCCATAAGCACACTCTATTATAAATAATGAAGGCCTCCTCCATATGGAAAGGTTTCCTACATTCAATACAATCAAATATTGTAAAGTATTGCTAATAATATAGAACAATAAGATAAGGATAGTCTTCATCTGAAGCCAAGACTTTACATATGTGCATATGTCCAATCTCATCCTTCTCTTTTCTATTCTACACACCACTAGCAAATAAATTTCAGAAATTACCAGTTTCCACATGTTCTAAGGAAAATACTATTTCCTGCACTATAATTATATTCTGGCTGGAATTCATAAGGAGTACTAATGTCCAAAGTAACTACACACTCAGGTTGTTCTTAAAACAGGATAAATGCACATATTTATTCATCCAGGATATTATTATCCAAAATTCAACAGTCTGAGTTTCACCTACATAATTAATTCCACCATAATCATAGATTACAACATTATTCCTACCTGTCTCTTTACATGCCTCTTCCAATTTGTCTAATAATTGTGAAAAAAGTATTCCTCCTGTCTATTTTCTACCCTGCGTAACTAAAGTAAAAAAGAAAATTCAAATTCTCAATTCTCACCTATGCCAAATGAAATCTAAAAAAAAACAGCTAGGGATGTAGCTCACTGGTACAGTACAGCACTGCTTAATATGCAGAGGACCCAGGTTAAATACCTAGTACAAAAAAAAATTAAAAAAAAAAACACAAAGAAACTACAAATTACGTATCTCCATGTTTCTTTCATATCTTCATCAAAATGGATGCAATAAACCAGGAGCAGTGGCGTGCACCTATAATACCAGCAGCTAGGGAGGCTGAGGTAGGAGAATTGCAAGTTCAAAGCCAACCTCAGCAACTTAGCAAGGTCCTAAGCAACTTAGTGAGACTCTGTCTCTAAATAAAATACAAAAGGGCTGGGGATGTGGCTCAGTAGTTAAGCACCCCTGGGTTCAATCCCTTGTACTAAAAAAAAAAAAAAAAAAAAAAAAAAAAAAAAGCAATATTTCAGGTAATCCAATAAGAAAGCTGAAGGATGATATAATAGCAGTAATTTATTTCTCTATTTCATTATCATTCTAAGCAATTTCATTAATCTTTCATGTTCATACTGTTTTGGTCCATTTCATTTTACCATAGTGGGGCATAACTGATGAATAATGTTAAAATAACTCTACARTGATAAAACAGCAAAACCTTTCAAACGTAGGAAAAAACAGATCACTATAGCCTCTATAATGTTTCTTAGATTTATAAATGGAACCAATTCACCCATATGGTTAATTATAAACAGACTTTTATTCAATTAATAAATGTAAGTAAATATTCTCTGGTCATTCAAATTAAATTTTTGATAATTTATAATTACAAAAAATGATGAGGACTGTGGATGTAGCTCAGTGGTAGAGAGTTTGCCTAGCATGTATAAGGTCCTGGGTTCATTTCCCTAGTACCACCAAAAAAATTAAGAAAAATTACAAAAGGCATGAAATATCAATGCTTACAGATAGTGAGAAATGCACTGAACACAAATTCAAGAGGTAAAACTGGGCTGGGCATGGGAGAACATGCCTGTAATCCCAGCTTTTTGGGAGTTTAGGCAGGAGGATTACAAATTCAAGGCCAGCCTGGGCAATTTAGTGAGATCCTGTCTCAAAATAAAATCTGAAAAAAGTGCTGGGGATGTAACTCACTGATAGAATGTTTTCATGCATATGCCCTGGATTCAATCCCTAGTACTAAAAGAAAAAGAAAACATCTTGGGACTGGGGTTGTAGTTCAGTGGTAAAGTTCTTGCCTAGCATGTATGAAGCACCAAGTTCAGTTCTCAGCACTGCATACAAATGAATTAAGTAAGTAAAGGTCCATTGACAACTAAAAAAAATATTTAAAAAACACCTAAAGTTGGGTCAATGGAACCCTTATAATATACTATATCAAGAGTTAATCCCCTGTTTTGTTTAGTATTTTATTAGTATCATTTCATATTCATATTTCATATTCATATTCTTTCATATTCCTAAATTTCCTATCCATATTTCATGTGATTCTCAAACACCACAGAAGTAGATTTTTAAAAATCCAAATTGATAACATCTGTATTTTAACAAGAGGGTTTAAGTCCCTTTGAATATACAGTAAACAATAAAACATGTCAATTGGTTTCCTTTTTCTTAAAACCTGTGTATGTGTATGTGGGTGTGGGTGTGGATGTGGGTGTATGTGTGTGTGTTGCTGGGGATGGACCCAAGGTCCCTGTACATTCTAGGCAAGTGCTCTCTACTAAACTACAAGATAAAAACCTTTGATAAACCTCAACCCAATATAAAAATCTTTGAGATTATGCTTATTATTCTTTCCTTGTACTCAATCCAGTCTAACAGAAAATCCTGTTTTGGCTCTGACTTCCAAATATATTCCCAGTCCAACCATGTCACTTGACTTTCAGGATTTCTAAAGTAGTATAAATTATTGCTATCCTTTTCACTGACTATTGCCAAATGCCTGCCCTCCCTGATTTTACCAAGCCTCTTCCCCACCCCTCAGTCAGCATTCCACCATAGCTGCCAGAGATACATATACATGGAGAGTATGTGCTCCTTTGCTCAAAATTTGTGGTTATGGTTTGGATCTGGGATGCTCCCCAAAATAAATTCATTTGTTAGAAAATGAAACAATGTCCGGAAGTGAAATGAGTGGATCATAAGGGCTGTGGATTCACCTCATCAGTAGATTCACTCTGATGATCATTTGAATGGACTACTGGGTCGCAAGTGTAGGCAGGTAAGGCATTGCTGGAGGAATTAGGTCATGGGGATGTGCCCCTAGGGACTATATCAGTCCCTGGCCCCTTCCTGTCTCTGTCTCTCTGCTTTCTGGCTGCCATAAGTTTAGCACTTTCCTCTGCCACACACTTGCACCATGATGTTCTGTCTCACCTAAAGCCCAGAAAAATGGAGTTGGCTAAGCATAAATTAAGCCCTCTGAAAATGTAAGCCAAAATAAACTTTTACTTCTCTAAGAACATCAGGCATTGGTCGCAGCCAAGAAAAGTTCTGAACGCACCTACCAATGGCTCTATCTGAACTAGAATAAAATGAGCTTACAATGACCAATGAAGCCCAACACAGTCTGGTCCTATATCTCTCTCTGACAACATCTCTGATGTGATCCCTGTTACCCTCAGATTCCTATATAGAGTGTCTCTCTGCTGTCCTATATAGTCACCACTCTGGCCTCAAGGTTCATAGCACAAAGCATACCATCTAGCCAGAATGTTCAGAATCCACTGCCTTACTTCATTCAGATTTGTGTTCACTATTATACTGACTTCAAAGAGGCCATTGCCTGATCACACTTTCTTAAACAGTGTGCCATATCTCATTCTTTTTTTTTTTAAGAGAGAGTGAGAGAGGGGGGAGAGAGAGAAAGAGAGAGAGAGAGAGAGAATTTTTAATATTTATTTTTCAGTTCTCGGTGGACACAACATCCTTGTTGGTATGTGGTGCTGAGGATCGAACCTGAGTCGCACACATACCAGGCGAGCACGCTACCGCTTAGCCACATCCCCAGCCCGACATCTCATTCTTTTTAACCACTAGAGTCATTATACTGTCACCTCCCATACAAATACAATTTACTGAATAAGTAACTAATATGTGATGAAAAGACAAGAGCAGAAATTGACACAGAAAGAGTAGGCAGATATCTAAAGTGAGGTAAGGACTGAATTTTTGGAAGAAAACAAAGCCCATTTAGTTGTTATCTGCCAGTGTGATGTATATACATCTAAGGCATTCATGCAAATTACCCTGTCATTTCCAAAATTCTAGTAACTCTAAAAAAATATTCTTGGAAATGTTCA